GGGGTCATGACCCCCGACCCCCACATAAGTTATGCCTGTTCTTGATGCTGAAGGCAAGCTAAAAACAAGCTAAAAAACAAAACAAAAAAAAATCTAGAAGACATTTTCACAGGAAAAATTGTTTCACAGTCTGGTCAAGAAAGCTTCTGGAGACAAAAGGCTTTTTTAATGTATTTCAATTTTGAACAATTCTAGAGTTTATACAGTTTGTTTTTCTAAATAAAACTGAGTTTAAGAACTGTGATACGTGTTCTTTGTTCAGAGATATTGCATGTCTTATGTTAAAACATAAACCTTTAAAAAGCAAACAAAAAGATGTGAAACGAAGAGATGCAAGACAAAAAAAAAGACAATATTGTTGGTCAAAGTGGATTTTATCTTGATAACAAAACCAAACTTTAAAGTAAACTAGACATGAAGATTTTTTTAAACTGTATTGTACTTTTTGACTTTTTCACATTTCAAGCCTGCACTGATTCAACCTGGATATAGAAGATACATTAAATAACATTTGTTCACAGTTGCATCATTTTTTGTTTTTATTTTTTTCAACTCTCTTCACATGAGAATTTAAATAAGGACTCTCCTCTTTGAGGAAATAATCTATTAAGCTATCTGAGCATCTGCACATCCCTGCTCCTGCAYCTTTGTTGGCATGACCAGGAGAAGCCTGAAATAATAACCCCGTCCAGAAATTTAAAGCCTATCGTGTATATCACCCAGCCTTGTGATCTCAGATAACACTTATTCCTTGCAGTGGGAAGACAATAAGCTGCAGAYTTGTGTGTTTTTACTTGGACATACAAACCAAGTCCTAAATTGGATAAAGTGGGGGGCTTTATTAATCATTTAAAATACAACACCTTTAATGTGTTTGGCATATTTTTGGGCCATTTGTTGGAAAACTAACAGCGTCAAACAGAAATTTCATGTGTAGCATTAATCAAACTAACATGAAATAAAATAAAACTATAAACACCATATCTTAATCCTTATTAACAAATTAAATCCAACTTTTCCATATTAAACTCTGCCCTGCTGTTGGTTCATTTGAGTATTGCTCCCCCTAGTGGTGAAACAAACAAAACACAAGTACACCTCTTCTTGGAAATTAGTCAAGAAACACAATATTATTTTAAACAGATGTTTAATTTTATACTTGCATGGATAAACCAACAAAGTATATACACATTCGTCCTTTAGAAAGAAACACATTAAAAGTGCATACATGATAATAAAAAAAATATTTAAAAAGTACAAATAAATTAACAGAATTAAACAATTTTATGAAACTACTGAATGTCAAAACAGTAAACAAAACTGGGCTTAATGCTGACAGAGAATATAAAATAAAAGTGTTCAAACAATGCAGCTTTTAACCTGAAACAATACAWAATGAATTAAGACTTTAAAAAGAAAACATGTGCAACATATTGAATTTTGCAAAAAGCTTAAATATATATTTAAAGTAAAAAAATATAATAAAAAAGACACATTCTGTGCATTGAGAATGATATAATAGCTTTGCTGATATTTATTTGATTGGCTGCTCTTCTCCTTTGCTCCTCAGCCTTATAGTTTCTGAAAACTCTTTCTGTAGTGTTTACATTTTAAATTGATTTGAAAAAGCTCCATAAAGCACTGAAAATAATTCCGATACTAAGCTCTCCACTTAAGAAGACATGAGGCAGAAGCGCTCCAGAACCTGAAATCCGCAGGATGTCGACCCTTCAGCGTCAAGAGTTATTGCAGTGAAAAGCATTACGCAAATAGGATGCACGGTATATAAATCTTTAAGCTTTACTTTTAGGTGGAACTTTGTGTGATTTGTATCACAATACCAAAAAAAAAAAAAAAAAAAAAAAAAAAAAAAAAAAAAAA